TGCGTTGTTGATAAGCAAGTATACGTTGCAAATGAAACCGTCATGTTTAAGCTTGAACCTTACAGCCACTTCAAGAAAATCACTGCTGTCGCGACGCTTTTTGCTGCGGCAATATTTTTGCAGCTTGCTTTTAAAGCATATTGTCTGGCACCTGAAAATGACCTCGGGATAGCGGCTATACTAATTACAAGTGGGTTCAAATGATCTATGCTGGCTGCATTACAACAAAGTGCAAGCTCTGTCAGTTTGTAATTCTTTTATGGTCATATTATCAAAGTTTGTTTGGGCGGTCGTCGAAAGATGAGCGCTTTCCTGCCAAAATTGTAAATGTTGTCTAGCTTGTAGTGGTGGTTAACCTCCTGAAGCTTGTACGTGCCGAATAAACGCTTCAGTATTCGAAATGCCGCTGCGTGTTGCAAAAATATGAGGTTACTTATACACGGTCGACTAGTAATCGTTAATCTATACTTTAAATTCTTAGCTTCGAACATCAATAAGTCGTCAGAATTGTTTGAAGTGGCTTTATGACGGTGATTTTTTTTGTCTCTTCGAGATAGGAGCTCTCACGTGACAGTGTCAGGTGGTTGGTATCACGCACTGCAGAGGTGTACCATTTAGTTGCTCTCGATGAGTCAACTGGTGCTAACATGAAACTCTTTCGGAAATGTAGATTATATCACTTCATTATCTCCGCGTCCTACAACGAAGGTTGCTATGGGGTTGTAATCATACATAAAGCTCCTTGCCTGCTGCCGGTGAAGTATTTTGTGTAAGTCTCGTAGACATAAGTGAGGCCAACTTTAAAGCTGTGTCAACGTAATGTCTGGCATTGCTCGGACTAGTTCTGTTTAGCTAAAAGGCAGATTGGTTCAACAGAGCATCATTTAAAGAGAAGACAAAAAAATAGTCAGAGAAAAACCTTTTGATTGCCCGCATGTCTTCGAAGACTCCGGTGAAGGGCAGACAGTCACATGCGGAAGATCATGCATAGACTGTGACTGTACGTGCCTTCGAGTGACGCTTCTGCGCCGACATTTTGAGTCATGACAGCCTGGAGTTTCAGATCCGAACGCCTCGTGTGTCCAGTCTATTTTATTTCACCAATATAATGTAAGTGATTTAGTCAGTTGTCTCTCTTCTTTATAAGTATTCAAACTTGTGAGAATTATCACTGAAGATCACACTCCTTAAACTAACCAACTCGACTGGCGGCAGGATACAACTCACCGATTCTTTTGATGTTTTGTGCTATATCTCATGCTTTTGCACTCATGAACATTCTCGGGTTCTATACAAATTGCGAGAGCGTAACAAACTCACGGGTCAATATCTCAAAAGGATATGCGCGCATATTAGTTTTGTAATGCAAGCAATTGCGCGAATGCTGAATCTTCCTCAATAGTATATCAAGGTTCCGCGATTCGCAACAAGGTATTCGACAATTGCGAGCGACGTTACGCTCGTCAGCACTCTGCTTAGCTCGGTTGCAGGCTCGGCCTACCCGCGCTGAATATTTTAGCTGTATACGTTATGGTTCAAATTGGTAGCTTTTGTGCTGCAAAAAACGTCTATTGGCTTGCAACAATGCTTGATGCCAAGACACGAGCAAGTTGTGCATTCCACCGTAGGGCGTTGCGATTTTGACGAAGCTTTAAGAACGTGGCTCAGGCACGTAACTTTTAATTGGCTAGACCCTTACAATACGCCCAACCCTTCTCATGACCCGCAAGGTTCGACATCGCGATCAATACTTGCTGCGAAAGTTCTCACTAGTAATTGCTGCATCCAACTCGACAAACCATCACAAGAGAGGCTCGGACTCTTCTCCGCATTACAAAGACACGCTAAGCTTCGGAGTCCTCATTCTGCTAGAAGAAACAGCGCTTCTTACCAGCTTACAAGATTTCACAATCTCGTAATGCTTTTAAGTGGTACAGTAGAACCTGTCTAAATTAAACCTGTTTAATTTAAAACCCTCTCTGAATTGAACAAAAGATATGGACCCATGTTGGGCACCAAACAGTAGAACCTGTCTAAATTAAACCTGTTTAATTTAAATCCACCTCTAAATTAAACACTGTCCCCAATCCCAACATGTTTAATTTAGACAGGTTTTACTGTAGCCGTGTTGTTCGGATCACCTGGAGAAGTTAGCTGACTACAGCAGCTTCTTCGAGGACTCTTCACATCCGCTCCAGTGCCATACACTTATGTGAGGACAAACAAAGCACCATATTACTCGTCAGCACCGTTATGTGCGGTACTGATTGATCGAGTGGTACTCCAACTCCCTCCAAGTCGCTTGGACACAGACAAGAGTACGACTTAGACAGGAAAGCGCGACATATGAACCGGATAAAAATGGTTGAAGTGCTACCAGGTGTAAGAGTGCACTATTTAGAATTATCCCTCAAACACAACACACACGTTTGTGCTTTGTGGAAGCAATTCTTGACGTGAAAGAAAAACTTTGTTTTGTTTTGGTGGAAGAAAAACAACTTGGGGGGTTGAAAAAGATTTGCAACTAGACTAAAATTAGTTAGCGGCTTCTAAGGCTGAATTCAAAACACCACGAAGGACTATTTGAGGGTCATAGAGCGTGGGATATCTTTACACTACTGAGAACCTCAGCTTGAAATTATTCAGGATCCTAGGCGTGCGCGTGTTGTCTTGACCTCCTAAGAAAAGTTTCTATCAAAAGTGACTACCTTATGGCACTCACTTTAGTATACAGACACACGTCAGTCCAGCCACCAGTGCAAAGCCCCAAGTAGGAACCAGCATCCTGTATCACACAGAAAGTTTGTGTCGTTATAGACGATGTCCCATGCATGTGGGAACACCATACTGCAATCCATTTGATATAAATTCCCACACTGCACGCAAAAGGTACGTTGTTGCATCTTCGTGTAATGGCTAAGTGTACCCCATTACAGCAGTAAGTCATGAAAATCAATGAGATGTCTGGAGAGTTACAAGCAATGGAATAATCAAAGATTGGATAATGTCGTTCAACCTAAGGGTCACTTGTCTTGAATAACAAGTGAGCGTTCGAGGGCAAATACAACAAAAATGGAGAGATCAAATTGCACAACCTTACATTAGCGGCTTGCGGAGGTTAAAAGCCGTTTGAAGTAAACTTTACATTGGTTTTTGGGGTTCTAGGCAAAGACAAGCTTGGATGAGCACCGTTGTTGTACCAAACCCCATTTCTAAGGGTAGTTGTCGAATACCAAGTTTGAGCCCTGAGCTTCTCATCCTTTAATGCCACTACCATGCAGCGTTGGCGCACACATTTCGACCCTGTTGCAGCGACAGTCGAATGTATTCATACGGGCACCACTCAGTCATCTTTGCTACTGAATGTATTCACGCCGAACGACGATGAAGACAAACGGACCGCAACCCTTCATCTACTCTTGGCGGCAGGGAATGAGCCGCTCTGCAACGCCGAATGGATCCATGGGTGACACTGCCAGAGGTATGACGTGATCAAGCGGGCTCTTAGCATCACCAGCGCGATCGTAGTCATTCTCAGCCTTTGCTTGATTATCGGCTCGTTCCTCCGGCTAGACAAATGTGGCTGTCCCATACAAGCATCCGGTCTCTCTGGTATCCCGTCGGGTAAGTGGACTGTGGGAGAAATAAGACATCGTGAAAATTTGTGGTGTACCCAGACCGAGCGATGGTTCGGGCTTCGTGGATTTCAGCGCAAATACTCGGTCCCGTGAGATTCCAGATGCTTTGTAACACATTTGTAATCGGTTATCTTGATTTGCTCCTCCGATATGCAAAATCGAATTTCTTTGACATCAAATTGATTCGGTGAGCATTTACATACTTTGATGAAGTAACCTCGTAAAAACTCGATCTCGGTCGAGTTAGTCTCTGCGTCATACGTAACAAGTTAATAGGCCCGCAAACGGGTGATAAGCCCTTACCTTTCTGACACACCTGCTCTTTAGCCATTTTTGCCATCCTGAGGATAGTCAGCCTCCACTAAAAGAAAATACTACACGAGATCATTGAGAAGCCACACACCAAGAAGCCGGATGAGAAAAATACATATGAGGGTCATTTACACCTGCTAGTTCTTTCAAGTTGCATCATGCTGATTATAATGATATTTACGGTCTCAATCTCAGCACCAGTCTGCAACGTCTTCCCTTTCACAGGACACTTCAGCCGCTAGAATGTCACTCAAAAGGCTTGTGGATGCCCGCATTGCACCAAGTAAGACCCCATGGGTGGCCCAATCGTCCAAGTCGTGTGGTCATGCAAGCTTTGTGGTCTCACTTTTAACGACTGCGGTCGGATCTGGGGCTGGGGTTCCCCGCGACGACCACCACCACCAGAAAATTCTCCCAGCCATTGGTTGCTTCCCGCCATTGTCTATTTTACAACATTAAGACGCACAGAGAAGTCCTTTCCCGGCAATCCAGTTCGCATGGCAACAACTTGTGTTGGAGACTATTGTCACAATCTATCTTAAGCTCATTATTCCCGCGCTTACCGCCACGTATCTGAGGTGTGCATCTCCCACTAGTGTCTACATGGAAACAACAATGACACGCGGACTGGTTCTAACCCGATGCTTGAGCTCGCTTGAAATCGGAGACTATGGTCAATACCCTCGTTTGACGTCAGAACAGCTTCGGAACTGGACACTTCGACGCGGGCATAAGCTCTCGCTTTCCTTGGTTTGGCTATGCAATGATTCAGCGAGTCGTCGACACCGTCGTCCATCAACTGACAAATTGACGTGTCGGTGACAGAAATTTTAAACAATAAATTTAAGAACTACGATATATCTTCAATGCACTAGCCATTCAACCAGATCCTGGAACGGTGGCATCAGATTTGGTGCACTTTCTCGTCTTTTGATGGCGACTCTCGCGGCAAGCCAGGCCTGAGCAGCGTCGAATTCGTTGTAGTCTGCGTCGACTAAAATTCAATACAGCTACTCGGCTTCCGTGTTCACCTATAAGCAAAATTTTCTTTATAACCATGATATTTGAATACTTAATTGCATCCAATGAACTCTGATTTATGAACAGATAGAACGTTCCCCGATGGACGGCGATGTGCCGAACACATATGCCAAGTCTGACGAAGTAGCCAATATTGGAAGAAATAAATCATTACAGCATTTTCATACGAGTGCGCAAATTCTGGCTGTGTACCAACGAAGTCAGCAAGCCAGCTTAATGAAACTGGATGACTAAGAACTCTTGCATGCAAAATTTACGATGCAGAGCTCAGCCGACGCATATGTGTTCTTACGATTATTGAAACCTCGAAGGTATGAACTTGAACTGACCGGGCCTTCTGTGGCAATGGTCGAAAAAATAATTAAATGACCGGGGAAGGTGAGCGAATGTCTCAGTTCTGTGAAAACTGGACTTTGTGCTCGATCAAGAAGTCACGATCAACGCACTTCATCAAAAGCATGATAATGACAAGCGATTTCGATAGTAAGTGATGTGGCTAGTGGTGTCGGTTTTTTGTGATACAACGCTGTCTGTTTAGCGACATTTGGACGGATTATAGTACAAACTGTTTTACCATTCATATTTACGAAGGAAATCAATTAAATTCGTATTCTTAAGTACACCAAGTGATAAGAATGAGCTTTGACTGAGTGGACGAAAGCTTAGATAATTACAATATATTGTAAAAGCTCAAGAATCGAGAAGTGTTTTGAAGAAGGTTTTTTTTTGCAAGATGCTCTAATTTTCGGATGATGTGCATATATGCGTAACCAGAAGTGGTGAAAGAAGTACAATGTGAATACACCGGCTCTTGTGTGACGTACCCGAATTATCAAAATATTGTCCAAGACTTTGTGATTGACAGCATGGTGTCCCTTAAGATCTTTTCACTATACAAAGAAGCTTCCTTGACATCACATTAGATACTTGGCGGGCCCTGAAGGATGCAAAGTTTCACAACGCCGTGTCGCATCTTTTGTAATTAACCAAATCAATTGTTTGGCTGATTTATTGAATGGGCGAATATATATCCTCGTTTGGATGGAAGCTACATCACTCGCTTCGTGTGCTATGACCACGTTTGGAAGCGGACAAAGAAGTAAATGGTTTCTGTACCTCTGCGCATACATCAAAGATGTCTGGGGTCACTCTTACAGCGTCGTTACTGACGAAGCTAAGTGCACCTCTATACCGTTAAAGTAATGATTTTTCTGGCATAGTATTGATAATGCTGGTAATACAATTAGAATTTTACAACTTCTGAAAATGTGCGAAGAGCCAAACGCAAGCAATAACATTTCTTGATCATGAATCATACGAACCAGTGATTACCGTGAATGACGACTACTTTCATAATGCAAAATTTGACAGTCGCATCGCAACCATCAAGATGAATGCGGCTAGCTATAACGAGATTATATCTCCGAGACAGCAGCAAGAAGAACAAAGTAGACTATGAACTGCAGCCGAAGATACCGAGATTCAATGCAGTCGTTAACAAGGAAGCTTGAACTTCGAAAAGCTTAAACTGTTGCTTTCGTGGAAAGTATCTAGTAGAGGTGACTGGCTTACACAACCCACTTCGAAAGACAGAAACACGTTAGTCTCGTCACTAGTACACATTCCAAGTAGAGACCAAGATTCTGTATCTCACAGAATGTTAGTGATTTCATTAAGATGTCATATATGCATTTGGAAACACCAAGCTGTAATATTTTTTTAAGTTTCCACAATGCATGCAGAAGGTACATGTAATGGCTGCTAAGTGTAACCCATTACAATTTGACGTCGTGAAGTGCGAAGCACGACGTCGATGCTGGGTTGGGCACTCACCCTCGCATCTAGTTCGTGCTGACAGCTGCTCTGCTTGCATTAATGATTTTGCAATCAGCAAGCCTTAATCTTGGAGAAGGGACGACTTCCACTTACTCGCAAGAAGCTGGTCGCGTTACACACTATTCAAGTCAACTGAATTCATGCACAGTGGGACACCATTGACATCAGCGTGAAGTAATGCACAGTCTATGACAATACCAAGAGCGTCACAGACAGCGTGAAGATCGATTAGGAGCTACACCGGGAAGGGGCACACACAAGGCTTTATTTCAAAGCTTAGAAACACCATAGTTTGTCTCGCTCTACCAACATTCGGCATATTTGGTGATGGTCATGCTATGTCGTCATAGTTCGCACTATACTCGTACATACAGCTGGTCAGGTCAAGCCATATAGTGGTGGCATTGACGAATCTACCCTGATCTTGATCGTCGTGGAACCTACTGTAGACCATGCTATTCTATAAATCATTCCGAAAATATTCGCTAGCGTCAAAGCCACTTTTGGCTTATTGGCGAATAGCTTATTTAAGCTCATACACTCGAGCACAGCGCAAGATGCCTACATCCGATTACTCGTACTGTGTCCAATGTTGCATGAGCATATTCTCACCAGAGGTTCAAACCTTGCTGATGCGTTAGACGACTATGGTGCAAAACCAGCCATTCTCATATCGTTCAAGTCGGACAGCTCACCGCAGTGAGGAATGTATTACAATCTCATATATGCATTTATCAAAAGGCTTAGTTGGAAGCGCTGTATAGAATACATCCAACCAATCTGACTGCACCATAATTTGGAGCTCGCGCGCTACATCAAACATATTGAAAGTAAGCACAATTCTCCCTGCCATTAGACTTTTCTTTTACGCAGAAAGCTAGGGCTAAGCGAACCACCTAAATTTGCCTCGTGCTTCACACAAGAAGCGCATATGAAGTTATGATTTCCTAGGAATAGCCGCTGGCGCTTGTAACGCAATATTTAAATCAAGCAACAGGTATTTTCCATGTGATCCAGGCAAAACACAGTGACGGTTCTATTGTCACATTCATTCAACAATGATACAAAGAATCGTAGGAATCTTGAATCAGCTCGTACTCGGTGACTGTCGAGTGTTTTCAGTAACAGACCATTCCATTTTTTATGCTCTAAGCTTCTCTTTCGACATATCAACTTCTTGCAATTCTTTGTATACAATCTTTTGTAACAATTCTCAGGTACAATATTTTTAATTAACATGGCAACGGATGGTCAATACCTCTATGAACAGTTTTGGTCACTTCCTTCACGAGTGAACAGACTAGTTCGCCACAAATCTACTAAGCTTCAATGTCCACACGATGGACACGACACTCGTTGTTGCGGGCTGAACTGTATCGCTATACCTTGAAAAAAGATGGACTTTGCCTTTGTAATTCCATAAGAGTTTCCTTTGAGGACTGCAGCTTTAAGCCGCTGTTGGTCCTAGTGAGTTTGCTACTAGTAATCTGGACATTCCCATACCCAAACCCGTCGCATATTTGTGGCTTTCTAAGAGGACATGTAGATGTAGATTCATGACTCATCAATACTTCATTAGAAGAAAGGTGAGAGGCACTCGACGTTTCGACTTCCAATCGATACATTATTATGACATTTAAGCCAGGTCATGGCTAGGGTGAGATAGTATCACACAACTGGGCGTAAGCCCAAACCGCCTTCTATGCTCAAGCAAAGTGTTAAAGCATAGCTGAAGGCTAACTAGAACACTTGCCACCTTGAGGAGTACTTCCGCGAAGCGCACGGATATAATACTCGCTTTTGATATTTTTGAGTGCCACTGCATTTGCTCTGCATTTTTCAAAAGTCAATCAGGGTAGTCCATTATCTCGCAAAGCTCGCTACGCCAATGGAATGACCAACAAACGTGGGCTAAAGAACCACGTCTTATATAGGCAGTTCTCTTAGCGTTTGGTCTTATTGATCTATATTTCACCAGATACTACAGAACTCTACGTATCATTGTAAGCTGCACGGCGGCCTTGTGGAATTTAGAATTCCCCCATAAGGTGTCTGTAGGTCGACTCTGCGTGCAATCTCGACCATTTGCATGTTGATGACCTTGCACGTCGAATACCGCTGAGAAAAAAGAGCAGCCAAGGGATCACCCGACTAGACAGAGATCGGTCGCGTCTAGTTCGCTCAGACAGCATCCATCGCCCGCACATCAATTGACCGTTGCGGATAAAAATTTGTGCTTCAATATTAATGCAGATTGCATCTCTTCTTTGATTGAGGTTGGGCGGGCGCGAAAGTATTCGATGCGAGCCGCGCCTGTGCGAGAACACCTAGGAAAACGTTATCTTCTTTTGATTCGAAAAAGGCCAGCTAACCTCTCGGCTCAGCTCTTGGACATCATCCATCATTCATTCTCACTTTCTTTATGGCTGAACAGGAATTTTAACCGCACGCAACTAACCAGAAACGGCAGCCAAAATGTTCGTGACATCTGTCGCTTGTGTCCTACCTTCTAAAAAATATTCTTATATGAGGCACACCCATTTGTGCATATTCTCGTGCGCGGCGCACTGCCTCTTAGCTTGAAGCAGAGCCATGTTTATGCCCACTTTAGCTCGCCGCATTCAGGAAGGAGTTTTCTGCAGCCTTTGCTTTGATGGGTCTTGAGCAGAATTGATGCGGTCTTGAGCTAAAACTTTCTTGTGGAAAAGCCGATGGCACCCCTATCAACAACTGGTTAAGACTTTTCTGTAAGTGGCCCGCCTGCTATGAAACGCGCTGGTGAGCACCTCCAGGTAAGCAATAATAAAAGTTGGGCCTTGGACCGCAGCTGTGCTATCATCTTAGGACCAACTCAACACATGAGCTTATTACGCTTGCCTTGTTGACCCGGGTAAATTAGTTACCTCTTCCATCCTTCAAGAAGACGGTACTGTGGATTAATAAGAATTACAGACTCATTGATCATCAGTCGTCGGACTGACGACAAGTGCTACCAAGTGCAGCGGGGTAGCCATGCACATTGCATAAAAAAATCGTTGACTCTGAGCCTGCGTAAACAATCGCAGATAGATTGGGTACTATGACGCTCCACCCAGGAGCAAAAGCGAGATCCTTAGTTACTCAGTTTGTTTTTCTATTTTGAAAGTGACATCTACACAAAAAATAAGTTATGTTGGTTACTATCAAAAAAAATTGTTTTACTACCAACGATGTTAAAACCCTTTGGACTGCATAACATGAGGCTAGCGACCCACGTGTCCCACGGACCTCACCTTTCCGGAATACCTCGTCCTATGCACCAGTATTTGTCATAATAACAGTGACATTAGTGTACGGTGGGCATACATCATGATATAAAACATACCCCGTTACACAGCCGGTGAACAGTTTCTGGACATCAGTCAGCACAAACTTTCCAACATTGCGAGACTTGTGCAACTGCTCAAAGAAGCGTAACAAGCATCTGAATGGCAGCATGTGAACAAACATTTGATCTTGAAGCACACTGCATAAAATAATACTTAGTGGTATCCGCTGAGCTGGATAATCACACCATCTGTGCCCATCCTTCTTCAACGAAAATCAGGACCTGTTGAAATGTGGTATAAATCGTACAAATTATCCTGATAACTTCTGCAAGCTTTTGGTTCGAGAAGAAGCTACTCTAAGATCTGACATGTCGAAATTGATTTCGTATGAACCAGCCCCTTTGAAACAGTTTTGATAAGTTGGGAGTCTAAGCCTTTTTGCTCTCATGGATTTGACAAGAAATTCGAATCTGCCTGCGCTCCGAATCTTTGTCGAACAGAGACCGGGATCATCTGGACCATTGGTTTTGACAACAATCATTACTCTATTGTCACTTCTAGTGGCATCGAGTAATTCGAACGACTTGTCGACGTAACAAGTATATAATGGGCTTGTCAGGTATTTGGCGGACGAAGCCCATGTCTGTGATACAAGCTGAAGAGATGAAGGAAGAGATCCCGCGCACTTTGAATCTATTTGACCTTTGCTGCATTGGTATCGGCGCTACCATCGGTAGTGGCATCTTTTCTACGGCTGGATCAATGATTTCTGAGACTGCTGGCCCTGGTGCTGTCATCAGTTGGCTTATTGGTGGCGCCATTTGCTGTCTTAATGCTTTAGCATACATGGAGCTATCAACGCGCGTACCATCTTCTGGAAGTACATATGCATACGCTTACCACACAATTGGAGAACTTCCAGCTGTTGTTGCCGCGTGGTTGCTTACGCTCGAGTACGCTGTATCTGGTGCTGGTGTAGCACGTAGTTGGGGAGACAAGGTGGAAGAGTGGTTACTGCTCGAATACCCTGATCGCAACTTTCACTGGTTAAACTTACAGTCTGCTAATCTCAGTGGTGGACTTATCCAGTTTCTAAGCATGGTGGTGTTATTATTGGGCGTTCGCTTTGGCAAAGTATTTGTCAATACTTTTACGATAATTAAAGTGATTGTCGTAGCTTTTATCATCGTCGCAGGCTTTGCTGCCATGAATCCGGATTATTTGACCCCTTTGATCCCTTCACGGACGTCAGTAGATGGTACGATGGCGTTTGGAACACAGGGGATTATCACAGGGGCTTCACAGGCATTCTTTGGATACGTTGGCTTTGATGAGATCTGCTGTCTTGCAGGTGAGACCAAGAACCCAAAGAAGACGATGCCGATCGCGGTTATGGTTGTTGTGGTAGGCACAATGATTCTAAGCTGTCTCTGCTCTCTCGTCCTCGCTGGTATGGTGCCTTACTTTGATGCTAGCAGTTTTGGTGATGGTTTTGAAGGCCACGGTTGGAAGTGGGCAGGAACGTTTGTGCGTGCTGGTGAAGTCGTTACAATGCCAGTTGTTGCACTCATTGGCTTTCTAGCGCAACCTCGTTTGAATTATGCGCTTGCTTGCGATGGCTTATTACCACGCATTTTTGCTGAGGTGGATTGTAAGGGCAATTTGTTTAAGAACACGCTCATCTCGGGGTTGTTTTTTACAATCATTGCTATTGTAGTACCCTTTGATACTTTGTGGGACATTGTAAACTTTGGTGTTATGATGTCATTCATCATTGCTAATGTATCCCTTATGCTAGCACGAATGAAGCCACAATCACCCAAGTTATCACCAATATTGCTTGCTGCTCTCGTTCTGACGTCTGAATGCACAGCTTTCTTATACCAAGAGGGGTACGAGAATAATTTGTCAACCGTGTGTCTATTTCTCTCGCTTGTGTTTCTCGTCGTCACCGTTTGTATCTCAGTCGCACTTTTCGTTATGTGTCCACAAACAGCCAATGCGTCTGGTTTATTTACTGCTCCACTAGTGCCATTCATTCCGATGATATGCATTGTAGCTGATTGGTACATGATTGCGCAAATTCGTCACGTAGCTCTGGCTTTGAGCTTTACTTGGATGGCTGTTGGAGCTCTCTCATACTTCATGTACGGTTATTTTCATGCCGAATCGCGCAATAATTGGAGTCGACTGATGGCTGAGAGCCTTCCTCTTCACAAGGACAGCCTCTCAGCGTCAATACTTTCGGCCAAGTATTCAGTGCAGGACTTGAAGTCCCCCACTGTATAAACTACACTCTGGCTTAAGCGGGGCAACTTGTCCAAAGTGACATCTCCCTCGCTAGTTGCTACAGTAGTTTTCTAAACTACAAGCTAAAGTCTAGCAATTACTTGGAATATGACGTATATTATAATTATATACATTGGCTGTAGTTTGAGTTCACAGAGGCCAAGATTAAAATTATGTATAATCGTATTCGGCACCTTCTGGGGATATATCTTTACATTCCTTGACAAGTCATAAATCCCATGACTGCCCTTTAAACCTTTCGATCCGGGTCTTGTCATGAAACACTTCCGATAATTTCTTCTTCCGACTTAACAACGATCACACACCTGCGGAACTTTGCTCTCTTTAAGGCTGCGCTTCAGTGTCTTCTTACTCATTAGTAACAAGTATGATAGTTTTATTGCTGAAGTTGGAGGATTTTCAATCTTCATGTGACGGATAACATCGTCAACTTCTTCGTTGTACATAAACACGCTGCAAATTTCCTAGCCATCAGACTTACAAACTAGCTCGTAGTGTCTTGTTCTAACATACTTCCATTATCAATACAACTTGTACCTTGATGCAAAATACTTGACAAGACAATCCTCTTGGTGGTCTTCTCTGTGGTCTTCTCTTGTGATGGGTCGTTCTCCTTTTTCTCTCCTTTTTCATTGACTCTAGTCCCACTATTCTTCATACTACTATCGCCCCATGACCTCCATATCGCAGGCAAAGGGTGTAGTCTTCTTCCAGCGATTCTTCTCTTCTTGAGCTTGTTCTGTGGGCATGAAGGCCACCGCACCGCAATATCACTTTTGACATTTGTAACTTCTTCATCTGATGCATACGTCCATATCATTTCGTCACCGTCATGTGGCTCAAATTAGCGCTGTAGGACTTGTTGACGAAAATATCATATTCCTCCAGTCAACGCTAGGCTGGTAACGCTTCAACCATGACACGCTTAGGATTAAATTAACATTTTTATCGGAGTCGAAAAGGATAAACTCGTCTTTGCTTTAAGGATCCCCAAAATTTCATTGCCGATCGCATGTCATATTTGAAATATTCATTGTGATCAATTTCTTTTTCACACTAAGCAAAATGTCTCCATGCCCAGTCATTACTTGCGCTCGAACAAAGTTGCTCGACGCACCAATGTCAATCAAAGATAGTAATTTTTCTTAAAATCATCGACAGTAACTTCTTGGACAATGAAAGTTGCCTTACCTGAAAAAAGCGTCCTCGTAACGACGGTTAATGTTCTCATCGTAGAAGGCCAGGTCATATTGCTCGGAACTGCAGAGTGTCTTTGCCGAGTGGGCATTAAACACAGGGTGCTCGCTCGGAATACCGCGGACGCTATAAAAGCCGTTGGCTCGAACGCTCCTCATGGTCGAAAATGGGAACGACCAGTAGTGGTGTGGCTCCCTTCTGGGCCCAAGAAGAGTACCGTGGGTGATGTGGATACACAGGACTCTGGGTCAGCGTGCATGATGCACATGCAGTTTCCACTATAAGTGTTAATAGTGTCAGACAAAGCAAATTTAATGAAAAATCTGATTAAAACAAGACTTTGATTGTCCAAAAAAGTTATATAGATGGTTTTGAGAAACCACTACGAGCTTTGATTGACACTTGTGCGTTGAACAACTGTGTCCAAGCGCAAGTTGTGATTGGGCATAGTGTTAGCCAGCCCAATGTGAAAGGAGAAATGGGCATTTGTTCAGCGAATGGATAAGAATGATGATGTCAAAGCAATTCATTTATTTGGCTATGAAGTTTGACAAATCCCGACGTGAAAACAAGTGCATCTTACTCAGCTTCGATGATAGGTTTAGTATCATCCTAGATATGCAATGGTCGAAGCGTTATCAGCCTTGCATTGACTAGATAAATGTGAAGATCGTTGTCAACAAGTCGTGTAGCGATAATTCGAGCTGCATGACGACGAACGATATGGTATAGGCGTATGCATTTGCGGAGAAGTCACAGATGCCCCACGTGATATTGTGGGGTGCGTTGGCTCCCCATGTTCCCAGGACAAGCCCAAGAAAACGAAAATAATGACACCATCTGGTTGAGCAGTTAGGCGCCAGAAAAAGATTGTCTGCTTTGCCGTCGATGAGGAATTTATGGTCGATGATAGTATGACGAATAATGGGATCAGAGGCAAAGACCCATCCTGAGAGAAGAATAAGAAGGCCGGCAAACAGAATTTTCCGTCAAGCATTTTGCGTGCCCCTGATCAAGGTACAAGTTGTATTGGTGAGTGGAGTGATCAAGAACAAGACATTCCCGGCAGGTTTGTAAATGTTGTAGCCTACAACGAAGAATGTGACGACGATGTCATCCGTCACGTGAAGATTGAAAATCCTTCAACTTCAGTCAAGAATTGTTTTTCTTGCGCTGAAGCGTAGCCTGGCGAAATGCAAATTTTGCAACTATGTGCGATCATCAAAGAAGATAGCGACGATGGTATCAATACTGCGGAATTATTTGATAATAAGACACGGAAGAAAAGGTTTTACGAGAATTTGTGGGACGCTATAAGGACAATTCCCGTGATGGACTTGTCAAAGAATACACGCATACTATCTCAGATAAGGTACCGGACAAATTTCCATCTGTCACAGGATAACATGCCACCCCACGCGCATTTGAAGGACCGTGCCCAAGATGCCTCGGACTCTGTCCGACCACGCCATCACTGGCTTGCAGGAATTCGTCACGAGATCGACATGCTTCCTTGTACCAAGTACTGTATCACACGGTAGTGGCTGTTGCCAAAAGAGCAAGTCCTTGCAATTGAACAAATTCTTTGCACAGCGACAAAAGGCTGATCATGTGCGTAAGAGAAAATTTCCGCATTGTAGTATAACCTTCTGTGTGAAGAAAGCCGCAGGTGGTTGGCGCATTGTTCTCGCTTGTAACAAATTGAACGATGCCACCATACCTGCCCAGACTCCGGTTCAACGCAAGGATACGATTCTGGATGGAGTGGTGACAGTACTATTTTCAGTGCGATCTATCTGAAAAATGGTTTCTATCAGATACGAATGCGCAAAATAATACACCACTAACTGCGGTCTGTATCCCAGTGGTATTCTGTAGGAATTGTAGTGATGCCACAACTCCAGCGACGTTCAGCAGAATAGCCACGAAGCTTCTTCGGCTATTAGGAGAGCTTGCACCGAGTTACTTTGACGGTGTATTTGTTCATGGTAAGAAATTGGGTGAGTAGTCTGATGCCGATGTTCAGTTTGATCATCTTCGTCAAGTCTTCCGAGAATAAACTCTATGATTACCTGTATAAGTGCATTTTCTTGGCACCTGAGATCTCCGTTCCCGGCTGCTTTGTTGGCAAGAATGACATTCGTGTAGATCCGGAGAAGGTCAAAGCTATTAACGCTTAGCCTGTGCCAAACAATGTGAAACAGTCGGGACAATGCTTAGGTTTGGACAATTATTTGCACAAACACACGCGCAATTATGCAGCGTTGGTGCAACTCCTAACGACACTTTAGAAAAAGAACGCTTAGTGGGAATGCTTTAAAGATTAACAGGCAGTATTTGTTGAAGTGAAGAAGAGCTCGATAGAAGCTCCTGTCCTTGCGACTACAGACCACGATAAGAATTTTCAAGTGGTCTGCGATGCAAGTGATCATGCCTTTGGTTGTGCTCTGATGCAACACGATGATCAGATCGAGAGTGAGTTGCTTCGTATCAGTCGCGACAACTCCGGCCCGCAGAACGAAACTATCCATTTTATGACAAAGAACTTCTAGCAAGAAAGTATACATTGATTTAGTTTTGTGTACATTTGCTTGGAGAGGAGCGCTTTGCAATTCATACAGATCATGCTTCGCTGCGTACGGAGGTAAATTATCACAGAGAATGGTACGATAGTTCTTCTGATTTGCGGAGTACAACTTCGTTGAATATTCAAGCCAGGCAAGACGAACATCTTGGCCGATGCGCTGTCAAGACGTCCGAAGTATGATCAAAAGTCCAGAAGCAAAAAACATGTACGAGTCATGTCGATAATGTGAAGATGTTCGGGTGATCATAGTGCAAGCAGCGACTACAGTGCGCCCAGAAATTGTTAAAGGGTGCAAGTCTGATGAGAAATGCCAGGACTTGTTGAGATCTTTCAAGAATTATCCGACAAAGCACTGCAAGGTCTTCGGTCTCGCACAAAATAGCGTGTTTACCGATTAGGAATACACAATAGATTTTGTACTATGCGAATGGACAAAGGGATACAGCAAGAGTTATTGTTCCTCAGTGACGAGGATTTGCATCATCGTCTCCTATATGAGTACCATAACAGCCCTTCAGGTGGCCATTTCGGACCTGAGAAAACGTCTCTCAATGATTACTATCAACCGCACACGTATAAGTGATCGTGCGAATATGTGAGGACTTGTGAGATTTGCCAGAAATTGAAACCATCGGATTCCGCTCATGCCCCACTACAGTCATTTACATTGCTAACTGGCAGCTGAAAGTCTGTAATAAATATAAGCTTCATATTCGGAAGTTTCCGTGACACACATGAACGCAGTGGCATCGTTGTGTTAGTTGACCGATTCAGTAAGATTGTTCATCTAGCGTCTGTTTTGGATGAGATCTCTGCTGAGAAAACAGCTAAGGTTTTTGTGGACGTGGTTTTCCGTCTGTATGGCCTATCTATCGAGATCGTGTCTGACTGTGACAACATTTTCACGTTGAGGTTTTGGCGTGCACTTGTTTGACTATTGTGCACCAGATTGTTTCTGTCAACAGCAACACACCCTGAAACAGACGGTCAAACGGAGCGTATGATTCGGGTCCTGGGGGACTAGTTACGCAACGTCGCTCAGTGAGTGGAGTGAATTTCTCCCTCTTGCAGAGTTTGCGTTGAAGAATTGCACGCATGCCTCGACAGGTCATTCAACATTCTATGTGAGCTATGGTATTCATCCTAGAGTATCTGCTTCCATAATGGGCGGGGTCTCTACTTTAAGTGTGGGGGGGAATGTTGCTACGGAGCCACAGTCAGATCTAAATGCGGTCACAGAGTTAGAAGCGAATTTTGACTCATTGCGACCTCTAGTCGACATAACAAGTCGTGAGGAACAGCACGTCGATAACTTTATTCTGACGCGATAAGCCGTTGTGCAATTTGTTCGCGGCGCAATTGGAAAAGCTCAGGAACTGCAAGTAAGCAGATAAAAGCGGAAGGAAGAACAAGAAGGTATATAAGGTCAATGATTGTGTACTACTTAGCACGACAAATCCGCCTGCAGATGTAGTGTCCAACTTGGGAAGCAGGAAGCTTAACCAAGATTTATTGGACCGTTCTAGGTGTTGTAAAGAATTTGTGATGCGTGTACATTAGCCATCCCTACATGCATGCGTCTACAACCAACATATAATGTGGGTACACAAAAGTTGTATCTTCCAAGTGGATCCGCCAATCCTCCGATACCTTTGTTAGATGGTCGAGCTGACGATGAAGTTTCTCCATCTGTTTGCAAAGAGTAATCAACGTATCACCCTGGAACTTATTCTCGGCTTACAAGCCTTGAAGGACATCAAAGGATCGCTCCGTTACCAGTTTTAACGTTTAAAGGCGAGAATGGTACTCACCAAGCAGAAACTCGAAAAACGAGTCTGCCTATACGACAGAGCGCATCAGGTGTTCGTGAGCCACCTCTCTTTTTTCCGAGTCGAACAAGTTCATTATGAACCTGTTGAAGCCGTTACTCAAAACGGGACATCAAAGCCATGCATTGGGCGGAATCACTGTCACAAGGTCGAGTTTTTAATTCTGCTCTGCAACAAGGTTATTAAGGCTATTGCAGCGATCTTCAAGCACCGAGCAGCATAGCGGAAGCTTTATCGATTTGCTCGCGACAGGCGCTCTTCCACTTCCTGAGTTGCTCAATCGCTTTCACATTTCTCCCCATCTCCGCTATTAGACTCTTGTGGAGAGTATCGGTGGGTGAGTGGGACGATTGTCCATCATAAGGATCGATCGACTCATTATTGTGAAAAACGCAGTTGAAGTAGCAACGCTTCTACCGAGTTCGGTGGCGCGGCTATCTATTGGATCCGGACACGTCGAAATCTCGTCAGGTCCTAGAATCTGATGTCTTCGGCAAGGTCTGCAGCAACAAATTGGCGAAACAGACGCTCCATCTTGTTCTCGTTCTTAAATGTCCGCCAAGAGTTCAGCTTGGCTGTGATAGGCTGGGTTGATTCATCACGATTGTCGATCCGATGCCAACGAAAGAAACGTTCCAAGTACAACCTCTTTTCTACATCCCGGTTGAGCATAGAGGAAACGTCTAAGTGTTCTAAAACCCATTCTTGGACGTTTAGGCAAAGAACGCTCATTCATGTTGGCTAGTTCACTTGATCGACTCATTGTTGATCGGGAAGTGAACTGCTGCAAAAGGTCTGCAGAAGTATCAAAGTACTCTTGATTCCAAGGAGAGGATGATGTAATAAGTTTTACTAGCCATTACATGAAGGAACACTTATGTGTCTTTTGTATGCATTGCGAGAGTTCATAAAAGAGAATTACAGTATGGTGTTCCTAAATGCATACGCAGAATCTTGTATGGAGTTTCAGACATTCCGTGTAATACAAAATGCTGGTTCCTACTTGGAGATCTGTACTGGTGACGAGACCGACGTGTTTCTGTCTTTGGAAGTGGGTAATGTAAAGCAGTCACTTCTACCAGATACTTTCTATGAAAGTTGAAGTTCACGCTTTACAAAGTTCACGTTCCGTATATTTATGATCTTGTATAAGTTCGAGCTGAGGTTCAACCTCACTACTCCCTTAATTTATGAAGGAGGAACCCAGGTTTTATCAGTTAGAACTCTAGGAGCCCTTGGGATGTTTTGCATGTAGCTTGGAGCCATTAATTCATATTAAAACAGTTACGAGTTTGCCTTAAAGGCTCTACGTCGCTCATTTTTAGGACTGTCTTTCTCCCTCCACGTCGGAAATCGTCGCACAAGCGTGCGTGTTGTGCTTGTGGGACTGTGCAATGGGCCAGGTCCCATCACTCATATGTTAAACTACATATTTTGTGTGTCTGACATCAACTGTACACCCTGTGTAGTTATATATCTCCTTTCAGTCTTGTTGTATTAGAACTGGAAGTACATATCAGGTTAGGAAGGTTAAAAGCCAATTGGCCATATCAACCAATCTCACTCCACCTTTTCTCTCTTCTACGTAAGTCAACGGCACACTGGAAGCGAGCAACACGCGATGAGGCGTGATAATTGACCTAAGCCTTCCTCTGAAAGTTTGTACGCAAAAACGGGAAATTTCCGTTACAGACTGTTGTAAATAGCGCCCTCTTCCACTTACAGGTCCGACTTTCAGACAATATATGGCTCTTGGTGTCCATGCAGCATCAAAAATCGTGGCTTAAATATCGGTCTAGGGCGAGGCAGCGTTTAACGTTGTCAAAGTTTTAGACCTCACAAGTAGAATTGATAGAATCTTTGACGCTCCAGCCAGAGTCTTCGTCGCATGCTGCAAGAACAACGTACCAGCATCCGGCATCTCCAACGCCTCCGTGTACTGTCATATATGTTAAACAGCCGTACGTTACGTAATTACACCACTCATTCGACTTCCGACGCCTTCACAAAGCCTAACTGTTGATGTCAGCGAGCAAGCACTCTAGGCTGAGAGCTTCAACTATTTAGGAAGTTCGCTACATCCAGAGCTAGGATCCATTAGCCTCGATATCTATAATGTAAATCTATACTCGATTGCCTCTCAGTAGCCATCCCTGCACCTACTCGAATTTGACATTTCCCCGCAAGGGCCCTGTAAAGGAGCCCGACCCATCGTACCCTCAGCCTAGAGAGGGAGGAAATGCAAATCTCGGTACTGTCAGAGATTTAACTTTGAGAGTACTACGGTGCGGCTTGGGAGCTGAAAGATCCCTCCCCCTTCAGCTTTAGCTGAGGTGCATTGCCTTTGGCACGCTCGTTGAGCTTTCACCTCCTGTAACTTAACCCGCCCTCGCGACACGGAAGCTGTAATCCGCATTTCATCTAACAACTACCACTAATTGACCGATGTCGGGTGGATGCGGAAGGTCTGTGCGTGAGTCGCATTTATTTAGAGACCATAAATGAAGATGGGAAACGTTACTGCCTCTGAAAATCGATCTGCCATCACTGCCGCTATGAGCACTCTCGACTCTTGGACATTCTTCACTAATTCTTGCTTCATTTTGACGAATGAATATGAATTAAAACACGCTCGGTTTGTCGCTTAGATATTTCTAGTGCTGGGAATCGCCTCTCACACAAAGGCACTGCTAATTAATTCGTGCGGCCTTCCAGGGTAGAGACCACAAGCGTGGCGTGCTGTTGCGCTTGTGGAGACGGGATCCGTCTGACGAATGACCAGATTCATTCAGTCCAGAAAGAGATTTTCTTTATGTTGACCTTCAAAGAGCTAGACGTTCGACATTACCGGTCCCACAGTAGATGTCATTTGTGATGCTACCAACGCTTGATTGAAGCATTTCTCGATGACACTTATTAGTGTGTTTTCAATGCTGGATAACCGCTTCTGATCATTGACCCACCAGTTGCATAGCCTCATTAAGACCAGCGACACACATGAGCTTACCAAACGTATCTAGCTATCGCGGCGGTAAATAACAAAAAAACTTGTGTTCCATCCACACAGAGCGTTTTCTCGCGACTCGGGAGTCGGATCGGCTACTAGTGCTACCACGTGCAACGATATTGCCGTGCATCTCGTACAGAGTTGGATTTGACTCATAGTGTCGCATTAGCTCACGCACAGAGGATAATTTCGTTTGCTCTCCCCGGATCGGACCAGAAAGCCTTTATGGTAACTATATACTAAGTTTGCTCTCTAATTTAAGAATGACATTCGTATTTGAAATATTATGATCACCAAAACGCGAGGCGGACAGCCTACGTGTATTACGGACATCTGCTCGATATTCCGTCATCCTCATCAGTACTTGGTTCTTCGACAAAATTATGATGTGTACGTATAATATAATCTAATACAAACATTGTTGCTAGAGGCCGTCGCACCAAGCCGCGACTAATTGAAAAGGGGATGATGGAGATACCATTTGATAACAAGGAGGTATCGTACCTCCAACACTGTGGTGCAGTTGTCAATATACGATACATTGAGTAAGAGCATCCTTGCTCATGCGCAGTTAAGTCCTCAAAACTAGTTTTCTTTAAGTGCGTCATTATCTCCAAAAGCAAAATGTGGCGCGCTAAGTTTTAGCGTTCCCAACAATTTTGTGAGTTAAATGTAATGGGTGAATCCAAGCGTGGTGTTAATATTTAGTGATCTGTAAAGTAAAAGACTAATATACTACTTTTGCAAGACGATTTTTTTTCAGGTTTGTGACATCCAAAAAACTACCTGCATCAAATACGTTTAATAAGGATAATGAACAATGAACGTGACGAAATATACTTAATACCTTAACGTCGTTAGCACTTGATCAGGCTATTGTTCATCGCAGTAGCAATATTTTTCTTACGAATTGCTGAGCTTGCGACACGTGGATAGGCTGCAGGTTAATGGGTTTTCTGACTTAAGTACTCTTTTCACCAAAATGCTTCGTGATCCTTCAAATCTTTTATCACTCCAAAAGTGTCAAATAGCGATATGCAGACACGCGAAGCCGTCAAGACTACTAACATGTTCACCTTACTGGCAAAAAGTAGTAGTGTGGACAGTGATCGAATCAACATCAACACTACAAGCGACACACCCACGTCAACCACTAACGTGAAGAAAAAGAACAAAAGCAAGAAGAAAAAGACCACGATGAAATCGTCTACTTTGGAAAAAAAGACGTTATTCGAAGAAGAGATAGATCCGGCGGAGCTACCGCTGATACGACGACTGGAGGTGGCAGCATCAATATCTGACACACATGCGGCACTCGTTGGTTTACTAGGCTGGAGTCGAATTTACATACACACCGAGACAATCCTTACCTTTTTTCAAAGCAATGCTTTGTTTTTACTCCTTCGTAACTTGCTGCATTCACGACCTACTGCTGTTGTATTCGATAACCTCGAGTCTCTACTGGCTAATTGTCTATCACTCGAAAGCAAGGCCGAGTTAACAGAAGTCGCCGAGGTAGCACCACACCGACAGATGGCTGGAGAGGTTGTGGCGGCTGTGAGAAACATTACAGACCAATTGCAGGAGACAGTGGAAGATGAGAATGATATTAATATCGAGATTGAGAGAGCTGCAATGAGTCTTAGTCAATTAGTGCGAACTCATGCGCTCTCACAACATGGCGTGGACTTGGACTCACCGCTTATGAAGGATGTGCAGGATCTGGAAGCTAAGATTGTTCAAGTTACTAATGAAGATACAGCTGTGCGCGGCCATACCATCCGTGATTCGTTTCGGCGACGTGATCTACGAAGCGATGCGCTGTCATTGCATCAAGAGCGTCATGTGAAACTGGCCAAATTGGTTGAGGAATGTGTTCGTAGGTCAGAGCAACAGCGTGAAGTGAATATAGATATGGAGAATATGGAAAAACCTCTCGAGGAGACTCAAACAGCAGAGGATGAGAGTGTGATGCGATTGGTGACTGAGTCGTTACAGGATATTCAGAATCGCAAAGACGCAGAGCTTGTACCGCTTTGTGAAAGAAAGACAAAAGTCGAAACTCAAGTACAAGTGCTTCGTCAAAAACAGGAAGAACTAGAAGCTCAGTTACTGGTCATCAAAGCCGACTTGCAGCGCGCAGTTGGCGAGCAAGATCAAATTGAGGGCGACATGCGTGCAGTCGAAGAGCGCTTTATCACTGACACTGCGCGTATTCGTGCTGAGCACCAGGATATAATGCAGCGATTTTCTAAAGCACATCGTCGTCGCATTTTTACTACTGAAGTGACAAAAGTGGCGAATGAAGTACGCCAAGCACGACTTGCTTACAGTCAGGTGCATGCTCTGCGAGCAAAACTAACGGCGTGTGTCTTGCAGCAGCTTGAAGGCTCGCTTAACTATTTTGAGAGCGAGTTGCCTTGTATCAAGTTCATGATGTCTCGAGTGAACGAGAACGAGGCAAAGCTGGTGTCGACGCTTGATGAAATTGCTTCTTACAGAGCATTGGGTGTGACTGCCGTCGCTTTAGAACTTGAAAAGCAGATGAGTGAGATCGAATCGCATTTGAAAGAAGATCGAGATTGCTTGTCAGCGTTGCACAAGCGTGATAATGATCTTCTGGACAGTATGCATTGCCTTTTAACTGATCCAACTTTGCAAGACGCCCTTGTTGCTGTTGACGCAAAAGTCAAGCACGAATCGCAACGCATGATTGACTATGTGAGGAAGCTGTACGAAGATAGAAGTAATTCTAAACTTGTCTCCATGAGCAATGGATCTCAAAAGTAGAGCTCAATAAAGCCTGGTTTTTCGAATATAGTTCCCGTGATTATTGCTTGGTGGGTCTTTGCTGTATCAAACAGTAATCAAAGTAGTTTGGTTGATGGCAAGATTAATTAAATATCCTCAATGTCGACGCTTTTGAGACATGGAGAAGCAAAGGTGATTCAAACCCCACGTAAAATTTTCAGCAAGCCTTAATATTGAGCTGCATTTAAAAAGAGACGGACTGCACGTAGCAGCCAGGGAGGCCGCAGATAAAATGCCTCCAACCATATCTTACTTAGGTTTGTGCAGAATCAGGTTTACTTTATGCTTTCAAGTGCATCTTCAACAATAAGTTGATGTTTGCTGCTGGCCGAACAGAACCGCGCGAAGTACAATTGAAGCGATTATCTTTTTTCGCTTGAATTTGCAAGTGTAGATTGCACAGCTATCTAAAGCCAGCCATGCTTCTTTTACTTAATGCGTAATTTCTTGGAGCTCCATTCGCCTGTACCATCCTGCTTGATTATACAGGCTTGAGCTAACTCACGCTCCTGGGTGATATGGCGAATAACTGAGCATGTTACCGTAAACGTTGATTGATCTGGAGCTGACCACAAAAAGTAGCAGCTCAGCCATGTCTTGATGCTTCATAGTAAGTTGCTGTATCAAGTTTTGTTGATTCCTTTCTATTTAGCTTGATGAACTTGAGCTTGTACCTCAAAAGCTCCTTCATTCTTAAAAGAATCAATTGCAGCAAATTGCAGTGTTTCGTTCACTAGCATCAAAACATGAGACTAGGTATACAGTTGTTCTTGAGCAATTTGATATAATCTTGCACTCGACGACCAAGACAAGGAATAATCCCTTAGATCACTGAATTTGTGTAGCCCACATACCTGAGCCAACTGAAGTTATGACAGATAGAATACCACTATGTATCGCCTCGCATGCTGCATTTAAATGATGTTGCGGGACATCCTCTGTCGCCATCATTAGCAACCAAGGCCGTAAATTCGCTTCTTCGTTTTTGTAGAAGCAGCAATAAGTTTCTGCGTTAACGTCAATCACATGGTACTCAGCAGACTCGGTACTAACTTACAAATTTATGACTCCTATACATGCAAGGTTTTGCTATAGCAGTATAAGCTTTAAATAAAGAGCATTCAACTTTAAGAGCGCAAAGGCATTTCAGCTTCTTTGCTAAAACCGTAGCTCGACTCAAATGGTTGATTTATTTTCGCCGTCAACACAGCACTTAATTCTTCTCCCGCACATCCGGACTCTCTGCTTGCAGTTGCAGTTGGACCTCGCGGTCATCCCAATATACTGATGTGTAGACAGGGCTATTTCAAACTGCAGTTTAATGACATATCCTACCTAATATGTAAGAAATACATGGTTAAATACTATGAACTTTACTATGACTAAACGATTGTCCTTGAAGCTTTCGGTGAACGATTGGTTGCATTGCGCAGTGTTCAACATGTGGTTGAAGAGGACGCAAGTTCAACCGTCATTTCAAATTTTGAGCGCTGCATAATTGTGATTTGCGCATTCGAAAAAGTCGGTAATACCGACAAAATCACTACTACACATAAATATTTAGGTGATTTTTGGTATCTTATGTGCAGAAATAAAGCTGGTGAATCTTCGACAGCATTGATCATAGTACTGGTCCGCATCTATTTGTGATGGGCGCGTCCTTGATCAAGAAACTGTGCTGCACAGCTTTCGTGTTAAGAATCGTACATTTTTCAAGTCAATACAATAGCAAAGTTATTGAGCATCTTGATTGAAAGTGCAAACCTATCCGCTTATCTACGTCGCCACGTCACAGGTGCTTTGTGATACCCTCGAATTCGCACTTATCCCAGCGCCCAACGCACTCACAAACGTTTTTGAACTCATTCCTCATTCTTCTCTGTTCGTGACAAGCTTATAAGCAGACAAAGGTTTATCTGCTAAGATGTGGCAAGTTTCCCAGTTCCGAACGTTGCGTCGTGCACAGTCTACTATAAACAATCGTCCGGTCCAGCGGGCTATAACACGAGCTTTTTCAGTACGAAGCGATACGAATGTGGATATTAGCGAGCAGGAGCTACTTCTTGCGCTCGACAAATTTCAGAAGAATGCTGCTGGCAACACTGTCCCGTGGTTCCTCGAAAACATGCCACCCTCCTATTTTCGCACAATCTCGGAAGAAGATCGTCTGCAACATCTTAATGCCATCACAGCACTAATTGGAGCAGAGCAACCCGAGGTTCTTCTTCGCTCGCCGGACCAAAAGGTCTTTTCGCACTTTCGTTCGGGAGCCAACTTTCCTGGGCGTCTAGCCAATGTACTAGACCAGCTGCCTCAGACAGTTGACGGTGCTACACTGTCCCGTGTCAAGATCTTTACAGCGTTAGACGATTCGCTCGGCCTCGATATTTTTCAATTTGGACAACAAGAGCCCTTTTTAAACAAGACAGACGATGAGAAACACGCACGTGCGACGATCCAGCAAGTCTGCGCCGATATTCAGGCTGGTAAGTATGCCAACAATGCATCGTACCCCATCGCGGGTCCGCACTTTGAGCCTGAAGCTGTCGACGCCTTTCTCAAGAGTAGCAACACCATGTACGTGCAGCTCAGCAACCCGCGACGCCTTGTCAAGCAAATCGAGCTGTTCCACCGTGTCTGCGGCACTGAAGGCGTTGCCGTGGATGTGGAGCACAACTGGGAGACTCGCGGTGAAGAAAATAAGTACGCTTGCAGTGCGCCTCAGACCATGCTGACGATCGCTGCGTCGAACGTTATCCCAAAGAGTTTTATGCATAAGGCAGCTACGTATTTGGGTCTGTGCAACCTTAATGTGGTGCGCGCTCACCTGGACGTGGTCAACAACAAAACAGATCATGTTGCAATGGTTCGCATCTTGGTACAGCCTAGCGAGCAGGCTTTAAAAGACAACTTTGAGTTTGAATGGCTCAAAATCTCAGGAAATCTTAAGTTTCTTAAGTGGGTGGACAACCGCCCAATAAATCTTACACTACAGCACCCTGACCTCGGCATCTCACGTGCTGAGCTCATCTATGCTTATGGCAACATGATGCACGGCGTTCTGGCCAAATTGGACCCGTTTGCATACTCTCTCACGCGCATTATGGAGACACTCGAGCACGAGCAGCACCTGCCCTTTGCTTCGCGTATATCAGACTATTTCCTGACCAAATTCGACCCGCAACAGGATCGCGCAATGACAGACGCAGAGCAAGACGCGATTGTCAAGGAAATTAAGGCTGACATTCGTCGCAACGTTGAGCAGCAGGACGCAATCGAGTTACTAAACACTATGGCTGATGCTGTGCGCGGCACGCTACGCACGAACAAGTTTGTGCGTGATCGCTTCGCTCTGTCACTTCGAATGGATCCAAAGGTTATGGGCTATGGCACGGTAGGCAATGACACACCGTTTGGTGTGTTCTTTATCTACGGTCGTCGCTTCAAAGGCTTCCACGTGCGTTTCCGCGACATTGCTCGTGGTGGTCTCAGAATGGTCTACCCAGGCTCCACGGATGCACACGCGCTTGAAAGTGCTCGTCAATACAATGAGGCGTATAACTTGGCGTTTGCCCAGCAGCTAAAGAACAAAGATATCCCAGAAGGTGGTTCAAAGGCTGTGGTGCTTTGCGAACCCATCGTCGGACACGTTGGTGATGTCGCTCCGCGAAATTTCATCATTCGTAAAAGCGTCAAAGCCTTCTCGGATGCACTGCTAGATCTCAATACGACGGACGAAGCTGTGAAGAAAAACATTGTAGACTACTATGGCAAAGATGAACTTATCTATCTTGGTCCGGATGAAAATATTATCCCTGAAGATATTGTTTGGATGACTAAACGTGCGTCAATTCGTGGCTACCCAATTCCACGCGCCTTTATCAGTTCCAAGCCTGACGCGGGTTTTAATCACAAGGTATACGGTGTTACCAGCGAAGGCGTGGCCGTCTTTGCTGACGTGGCTCTTCGCTCTCAGAACATTGACCCCACAAAGCAGCCGTTTACGGTGAAAATTACTGGTGGTACAGATGGTGATGTAGCTGGCAACGTCATTAAGATTCTGCACCGCGAATATGGTAACAATCTACGCGTAGTTGGTATTTGCGATGGCACAGGTGTTGTCGAGGATCCTCAGGGTCTGGACATGGGTGAGTTGCTACGTCTTGTTAACGAGTCGCTACCTCTTTCGAGCTTCGACAGTTCCAAAATCTCATCAACAACGGGTGTCAAGTATGACATCGCTACCACTGAGGGCATTCGGGCTCGTAACACATTGCACAACCGTGTTAAAAGCGACCTATTTATTCCTGCTGGTGGACGACCAAATACTATCAACGAGAACAACTGGCGTGACTTCCTTGATACCGATGGCAAGCCATCATCAGGCCTCATTGTTGAAGGCGCCAACCTGTTTGTCACCCCGGAGGCACGTCAACTTCTATTTGACAACGCCGGCGTGGTTATTGTCAAAGACAGCTCGGCCAACAAGTGTGGTGTCGTTTGCTCATCGTATGAGATCGTCGCGAGCATGCTGCTCGAGACGGATGAGTTTCTGGCTGTAAAAGACGAGCTTGTTATTCAAGTGCTTGACAAGCTGCGATCACTAGCCCGCGTTGAAGCACAGCTACTATTTCGCGAATACAAAAAAGACCCGTTTTCGGCCCTACCGCCCGCCAGTGAGCGCATCAGCCGTGCCATCACGCGTGTACACGATGCCATCCTGGCTCACTTTGATGACGTGTGCGAAGAGGACAAACAAATCCTTTTCACGCTTATAGAAGAACACTTGCCGCCCAAGCTGCGCGAGCTGGCTCTAGACCGTGTGCACCAAAACGTGCCTACAGCTTACCTTCGCTCTATCGTGGCCTCAAGTTTGGCCAGCAAGATCGTGTACCGTGAAGGTCTGCAGTTCACAGAAGCCTTGCCTGAGAGCAATTTAGGTAAGATGGCTTTGCAATATTTGAAACAGGAGAAAAAGGTACAACGTCTTGTTGAGGACGTGCGCTCGTCACAGTTGCCAAACAAGGAAGACATTGCAGACCTCATTGCTCGCGGTGGCGTTCGCGCCGGTATGGACACGCCCAATTAAAGCGGGCATTAATTTATATGATTTTGAGTGATCAAAATAAATGAGCTCTTCCAGGGTGTTACACCGTTGTCAGTCATTAGATGTATTTTGATCAAAGACTATTTCAAGATTCACTGACTGCACTGCTGCACGACAAATTATAAACTATACTGTTTGTCATTGCCAATTTTTTTATATCATGGTGACCAGCGAGGAGCATCAGCGAAATTGTACTGAGAAACGCGAGGGTTTGAATGGAGGTGAGCAAGAACATTTTAGGAATCATTTTAACTTCATTAATAAATCTTGTATAGATGTTTCGGTACGGTGATCTCTTGTCGACTTTAAAACTGTTGAATTAATGTCATGCGTTGTTAAAGAACGAAAGCGCACCTGGAAAGACAAAATCACCGTCGAATGCAGCAGTACTCAAAGCTGGATTGAAGCCGAATTTGTCTTTGTCAGAGGCGACTACTCAATTGCGCGTACTGTGTCGAAAATTTGCCGCGCTTACAGAGAAAGTAAAGGTCAGGAAGGATCAACATGAATAAGTGTTCACTGTTACTTAACTTTGTCGGTTGTTAGGAGGAAACGAAAGTTCGCAAGGCTGCAGAACGCGAGATTCAACGACTTGAAGCACTTCTGGACAAAAGCACGTCACCTGTTGTTGCCTCTTGTCGAGCAAACACGAATGTTTACGTTCGTGAGCTTAAAGATACTCAAGACAAGTTGCGACAGGAGCTGCGCCATGAGAAAGAAAAGAACGAACGAGTTGTGGCAAAGGCGCTAGAGCTTGAGCGTGAAAAAAATGCAATATTGACTGCACAACCACTGCAACCAACTGCAACTGCTTATCAAGAAGATATAACAAGTAAGCATCAGACGGCGTGGGATAAAGAGCAAGTGTACAAGATTCAGTCAACACTGAAGCTTACAATCGAGGAACTCGAGGAGGAACTTTTGCGAAAAGAAGAAAATGTTCAATCGTATCGCGAGCAATCACAGCGTGATAGAGTTAGGATCAAAGCGCTTGAGGATGAAATTTGTGCGAAAGATGAAGCACAGAGAAGTGCACAAGAAAGCAGGCGACAGCTCGAGGCAGATCTACAGCAAGCTCAGACTGACATCACGAATGAACTTGGAAACATGCAGCGTATTCATGATCAGGCACAGGAAGATCGGGCGTTGCGGGATACGTTAGAACAACAAATAGTGACGCTGAACGAAGTGAATACTGCATTGGAACAGCGAAGTCGTGCACTCGTTCGGCGACTAGAGCTTTCATCGACTTTGACGCAGGAGTGCCAAGATCTCAAGTCACAAGTTCGCGACGCTGAATTGAAGAATGCGAATCTGGTTCAGACGGTACGTTATTTTAAGTTGATCGGACTTCGTCTGATTCGCATACCTACAGATTCGAGAAATTAAGGATGAGCAACGTAATCGCGACAAGGATTGGAAGGTGCGACTAGAACGAGTCAAGGAAGAGAGAGATCAGTTCAAGCACAACGTGAGCGAGCTTCAGGAAGACATTGCGTCACTTCAAGCTCAAAACTCTCTTTTTTCCGAATGGATGCTCGTTCGCAATGAAAATGCAATTGTTGCTCAGCGAGACGCATGTTTAGATCACGAGTCACTTCAACTTCGAAGTCGATCAAACTCTTCAATGGTAAAATTTAAGAAACCTTGGCCTTCAGAGCAAGCACATAATACCAATATTAGTAGAGATAGTACACACAGTCGCGTCACATTTTACAGCGAGGAATGTCGAGGTGATGAAACGCAGTATATGAATGAGTCAAGTACGCGACAAAGTTCACGAAAATGGAACGCAAGAACTCCATGTGGACATCAAATAGCGCGTCAGGAGCAAGTTACTCCTCTACCACAATCATCTGATGATAGGAATCGACAGACGTCAATCTCGTCTTCATGTTCTGCTGCTACAAATGGAGTATCCTCCTCCGATCATGAGCGATTAAAAACACTTATGACTCGCAATCGTGAACTGCAGCGACGACTACAACAAGAAACTATGGCTACACAAACTCTCGAGCAAGAGATAACATATATGACGTCATGATTTAAATCAAATCTAATCTAATTTCACTATAGCATACAATTTTGCCAAAAAGGGTGTACGCAAATTCTCGTATTTTAAGTCCGATTTACACAAAACGTAAGAGATTCAGGATGTGTCTACGAATGGCTGGATCTCTGGCGCTATTGGTGTTGGTGATGGCGCTTGTCCGAGGTGATTAAGCTTCTTTGCATACTGTTGATTATAATTATGATTATGATATTTTCTATCTTTTGTTTTACGTATTAGCGCAAGAAGAAGACGAGTTTGACGTAGTTGTAATGCATTTCAAACGATGAATCTTTCTTTTCAGCACAATGCACTAATGTACAACAACTTTCTTAATAATCATAAAGCAGGAGACGGCAACACCAGAGTCATCACACTCGATGCCTGCTCGAAATTGGACTACATTAGCTAAGCAATTTGTTCCTTTTCAAGATCGTACGTGCATAAAGTTTAAGTGAGTAATGTCCACTACTTATGTCCATAAACTTTTGTCGATTATCTAGCAAATAAATTTGTCATTGAAGCAAGTTGCTGGGGCTTTGGCATTCTCTATCTGCTAGTCTACTTCGTCGGAAAAGTGCAGAACCGCAAGATTGCAGACAAATGGTACGTTGCGAAAGGCATATTGGATAAGAAAGATCTAATTCACCTCTATGATGTAGGTTGGAGAAAGCAGAACCTTCCTTACGTACCCAATTTTCGTATACAGGATCGTCAATTCCGAATGGAATAGGTCTCATCGAAGAGAGTCGCACAAATTTCAAGTATTTCTGCACGGGCCGCCGATTTTTGACACGCTTCGTCGCAGACTTGGAGGTACGATTTGAGTGAAGAGTCTCACATTTTGAAGTATTTCGTGACTCCGTTTGACATATATGCAGCTAAAATCTCGTCACGATTTGGTCTCGCGCCTTTATCGCGTTTTTGTGCCTACGTCAGACTATTTGGTGCGTATCAAACTTAAACTTGCTTTATAATTATTTGTAATTGGCATCATGCTGTCATGAATGTTCCATATACTAAGACAATTGACGTTGGACTTCACGGAGATATGGTGGACCCATTTATTTTCAGTATAAGCAAGAAATTGGGCTTCACAGCACTCTCCAAGCTATTTCCTGAGCTAGTACGTTTTTGCTATTTTGTGTTTGAATGATCGCGGGGGGTAATGACTGAAGTGCTTAGATTGAAACGGCAAAGTTAGTTCCGGTCAAAGAAGTTCCCGAGTCAATGTGGGTTGTGACAGACTGTGCTGAGATCCCCAAATTAGCGCTAACATACTCTATTAAGGCGGTACGTCTTGCAACTTTGACATTTTTGATTGTGTGACACAACTTATCAGCTATGTCAGTCGCTTAACGAGCTCGAAGACTTTCTTGAATATATTGTTATCACGGACATGAATAAACAACCGATCGTGTGAGTACTTGATTAATACTGAATTTCCTTATCTGAATCTGACTATTTTAAAAGTGGTATGCCAAATACGCAGAAGAACATACTACGAGTTCGGTTCAAACTCCAGGTTCGCTCGAAGGAGCTGGATATTGTCAAGATGCTCCAGTTCGTGTACGCTTTGATTGACGGAGCAGGAGCCACCATCAAGTTGTCGCCTAATGTATGGTTTTGTTTTGCTTGCTACACTCGACTGGCGCTTACTGTTTATCGTTTTCATGAACAGGCTAAGCATAGCGCGATTAAAAGGCGCGTGAAGATCAAGCAGGCGCTTGACGCTTTGGTTTCTGCCAGAGAAGACGTACGTTGCTGATAACTTGTTGGTAAGGGTCTGTCATATTGTTAATCAGTGCTATGTTAGGAGCCCACCCGTCCTCAAGCAAAATTAAGTGAGAAGAAGCAGAAAGAGTACGAAAAACTCTCTCATGAGGAGCAGCAAAAGATTGACGCTAAGAACGAAAAGAAGGCTACTCGCAAGCGCTTTAATCGCAAGGTACGTGCTTTGACGTTGTTAATTGATGCAATGGATACTACATTTTTTGATCTCATGCTTTGTTCTTTGTGAATAGAAATGAGTGCACTTACCTTTTCGGAGCTGGCTGTACGAAAATAGGATCTGGTCGTACTAGTCAATAAATGTCTAGCGCTTTCATATCAATAGAAAATGTGAAATTCTGCAGAGTATGCAAGTGTGAAGTGTAGGTTAATGTGATTTCTCGTCCCTCTGTTGAACATTGTGGGCTAAGTGGTGCTTATAGCTTTTGCCTTTTTAACTACTATACCGCCATAATTCTGCAAAGCGTTTTTTGGTTAGATGTTTCTTAATCATTAAATTATGACGTTTTACCATGTCAGGAGCTTGATCAAGCTTTTGGCACGTTGAATACCAACATCTTCATCTGTAGCTAGAAATGACATCATAAAGACAAGCCATCTGATTGTATAAGTTTATATTGATGAGCTCGTGTTTGAAGGTGACAGAAAGCCTTATTAAGTTTCTACTGCTTTTGCAAAAAATATCTCAAGCAAATTTGTCGCGTTCAGAACAAATTTTAGACATAATCATCAAATCTACTTTGCATACTAAACTATCGAATAAGGAGAGCTTGGTATGATGCTATTTTTTTTAGAAAGCAGAGTCGAATTCCTTTTAGTGACAAGAATAGAAGTTTTTTGAACATCACAAGGTAATCCCGTTTTATGATATTTTATTAAGGTAGACGGCAGCAAAATTTGTAACGGGAGTACGACCAGATTATGCTTTTCGTGCAGCCCATATCACCAGTGTTTTCTGAAAGCTGCAATAATGGATGATCGATGTCGCGATCACAGAATTAGTACGAGCAAGAAGTTGACCATGATTAAAAATTTTCGTCGAAGCAGGCAATTTACATCTTTCTCATCTATGTCTCATGACAGTTATTGCATAGCTCTTACAGAGATAATGAAAGAGATGGAATCGCAATCGAAAGAATTAGTAGGAAAACCGAAATACAGCACTTTAATCAACGACTTCCATCGCAATTTCAGGCTGTATTATCGTTGCCAAAAGTAGACTTAGCACCTTCTGCATTTAAAGAGCCCAGGGCATTCTTTGCCAGAACTAGCGGAACACTTGCGCAATGGATTGAAGGTGCTCCAAAAAGGATGTTGCCAACAATACTACCTTTTTTAAATTGATTTCGAATGCTTAAAGATTTGGGTCGTCCAATATGACTTAGCACTTTTACTGGTGGAGCCGGAGCCGATATCCATCAACGCACGATCTAGTTCTTCTTGCATCAAACAAGCTAATGCTGGGACTTCCTCCCGAGCCAAGTACATTTATTGAAGCTACTCTATTTGGTGCTCCGTCGAATGGTGTACATTCTTTCATAACTTCAATATTGGCATTGCAAGGTGTTGTGGACATTATGATCATTCTGCCATACGTGAAGCACAAAAATGATACTTATCTACGCTTACTGAAGGTTTTATCCCAGTATAACCGAAAGAAACTTATTCTGGATGAAGTACTAGAGCCCGCTGGAGTCGGTGAAAGCAGGTAAAGGATTGCCGAACGGGATTTATTCACTCTGTTTAATTGCAATTGAAGCCTACAATGATACTATCGCGGTATTCGCTGAAGTATCGAACGACATGCATCTTAACGCGCAATCAGTCGGGTATGAACGTTTGGAAAGAGTCTCGAATCGATTAAGTTTACTTCAAACACAAGACTGCTTGACGGAATCGTGGGATTTCTCAATCGCTAAGAGAAAATCATCTCCGTGGTTCTAGAATAACTTCGCGTAGAGCAAGAATTATCAACGTGAGAGAATCCTCGAGCAAGAAACGGCACGGTTTGAATAATGCCTTGACTATCATACTAAATATGTGATATAACTCTGACAAATTTATTGGTTAAAGCTTGGAAAATGCAAGAAAATTTAAAATTGTTGTACAGCTTCCCACTAGCTTATGAGGGCATTGCTAAAATCGTTTTGAATAATCATTATTAGTCTCTACTAAAAGTTGAATGTGAATCATCAAAGTTGAAGCACTCATTCTGTAAGAACAGATGCTGAACGAGACCCTGTAGATGCATCAGTTCCAAATCAATGCACCTTGAACTTGGTATTTTCTACGCTGAAGGTGAGAGGTCTTGGATCTAGCTGCGCTTGCAAGATTGGTGTAAAGTCGTCCCGACGACCAGCAACTCTTCTGCCTATATAACTAACAAGATGTCCTGAAAAAGCAATGTTTGCCGGCTTCTGAATCATTTCGACAAATTTTGAATAAATGGCCATCCTGACGGAAAAGATGATACCATTGTCGAACCTGGACCTTATCTTAATTTTTTTTCAAATTGTCATCATGATATCAGGCAGACTGTTCAGCCATGACTTGCATCAATACCGACGCCAAATTCCTCGACCTCATTTCCCTTTTACAATGTCGAAAGCGACACAAGATTTATTACGCCAATTATGTGCGTCGTAAATTTCGCACGACAATTTCAAAATACAAGCCGATATAAACTGACATCATTCACATCAAGACACATTTTCAGCAACGATAGCAAACAGGCTGGATAAATATAACAGTGAAACATATAAACGACGCAATCGATTATCGGCGCTGACTCATATACACTGTGGGCTAAAATTTGTTGTGGAGTTATTTATCACGAAAAAGATCATTTCTATTTGCATTGTGATCGGAAATGAGTGCATACCAGCCTACCACGAATTATGCTACGTCACAATAAGGCTGATCTATTTAAATGAATGATAAATACAACGAGCGGGCTCAACAATTTTTGAGCTCAGGCAATAAGGTTGAGTACTGACCATTTAGTCAGCTCAGCTCGGGACAAAACTTGAAGTTTATGAGTTATACCCTTACGTCATTTCAGATATTCATCGAATGGCCAAGCTATTCCGTGTGATCATTGAAAAGTATAGAGCGCGTTACTTGCTACAATCAACAAGAGAGATACGGTAGGAGGCCTCAAAGAATGACACACAGCTAATCTTGTCTTGTGCGACGACAATACGTTGCAACTTTTCCAGGCGAAGAAGGGTGAAAAGTGGCTGACGGAGGAAGACTTGAAAAGGATGTGAGGGACACAAATGGGCTTGACATCCTTGACCGTTGCGGGGGCAGCACTAATTTTGGTTGACCTGTCAGAGGAATCACTGCGATTCCGATCTACGGAGGAAGATGTAAAGGCAGGCACATGCTGGTGGTAGTTTAGCAGCAAGGTTCTAAAAGTTTCTCAGCACCCCAGCCATGGCTCTCCTCGAAGTGACGATGTTTCATGCTCATACGAACATGATCCACCATCATACCCCAACGACTCCAGATTTGTACAAGGATGATTTGTGCGAGTATTGGGTACTATCACTAGAATAAATCTACGCGGTGCATGTCATTCGACGTTGCAATTCGAAAGAGTGGTGACTGAAAATTCATTTGTTTCGCCTCAGCCTCGAATATTTGTCGCTAAATATGATGCATATCGAATCTGACAACGCAAGAAATGGATTGCTGTCGTACTAGCGCATTTATCCGATTTGGAGCACGTAAAATTGAACATATTCGAACCAAATATTCCATCGTCTTATCGATCTAACGGACCGTAATGGCAAGAAAACGAATACACTTCAACATCTACCAACGCCTATCGTCGACCAAATATTCATTTAACATGAAGTACAGATTTGGTGATGCGAATGACAACAAAATTGATGCTTGATCGCTTCGAGCGACTATGCTATCAAGATTGGCTTGAATGCTTGAATTCTAAACGGATCCTATTATTTTCTAAATTCATAACCAATAATTGTATTGTCTCATTTTCCGCATTTTCTAAAGGATACTTGAAATATATTCGCGCATCTTGATAAATAAAAGCGCTAGTATGTTTCAAAGCACAAATACATAGAGAGTCATAGCAGCTCAATATGAAAAGAAGTGAGATTCAATCAGCGGAATAGAACGGCTACGAAGGGTAAATTGTGCATGTAGTGTGCACAGTGTGAATTGATTGTCTTATTTGAATGTGCCCGGCGACCAATGTTGCAAATATAAAACATTTTTAAACAACAAGCTAGGCAGCACAAAATCTAATTTATTGAGTCTTTCTTCAGAACGTTTCCAGGAAAGTCGATTGGCTTCGTAATATAATTACTTAAGGTCTACTCGCAAGATAAATACATACATTTGTGGCACTGCACAGGCTTAAAGCTCAACTCTCGGCGCTGATTATGCTACGAATGAAACAGTTGAAGTCATGCCATTGGAAAAGCTTCGCTTTAGAACATCATTAACCAGTACTTTCGGGACTTTTCAAAATGTCTTTGACGATCAGAGACATTGTGTATCTTAAGACGTTTTTCTCCACGCAGAACTACCACGACGTGGTAGTCGGTCGGCAAGTGCAAATTTGTTGATGCTAAATAACAACACGAGCAAGCGGGTCGGTGAAAATGTGATTCTTAATATTCATCGCTTTGGAAAAAGGGCGGCTGTTTGGAAATTTGTATTCTGATCTGATAGACGTGGCTCTCAAGAAACCTGACATTGAGGTGCAATATGACGAAACGTATTTCTCTCAAATGATTGATACTGCAGGAGAAGGACGCATTTCGCTCTGAAGACGTAAGCAGTTGAAAATAAGGGCACGCATCACTATGAAAAGGGGTATAACTATCCAGGTTTTAACGATTGACTGTAAAGTCATCCAGATAAATGAATATGATGTACAGAGAGGGCAAGATCCTTCAAACTCTTTGGGAGTTATTATCGTGCACGGTCGCTTACGTTTATAAGTGAAGGCTTATGTGTCACCACCAAACGAACTGTTAATCAAAAGGCGTATCATGCGATAATTATGCGAATTTACTGTCTAGATAGATGCCATCACATGATGACCAATTGCTGAACTTTAAGTTACAATGCCTGGCTGCTGAGATAAACCTTATTCATATCAATATTGTATTCAACTGAAGTCATATGTGGCACCATATTCCTCCACCTATGGTAGTGCAGATGTCTTTATCTACATGGCCTCATTTAGCTTCTGCAAGCAAGTTTACAAACAGGACTTTGTGCAATTTGTCAAGCTTTAAGCATCTTTAGCGTCGAACTCCTCAAAATGTATGCATATTGCAAGTGAAAGTCACAGTTTGACTTAATGACACGATGTACGAACGTCATTAGAATTAGAGAATGTAGACCGGCTTGACGTCGTCAGGTGAGAATTCATCTTGGGTGTCGATACACTTGATCATTCCATCTGCGTGACTCTGTGTAAGAAGCTCGATGCCCTGCTTGCTGTAAACTCGGCCATTTGGAAGTACGAGAGGCGGGTTACGCTCGTCCATCACACTTTGCGTTACACGACACACCAATCGCGAATGGGGGTGATACGCAAAAGGAAGGCCAGTGCATAATTGACTGCCAATTTCGCTGCATGCTGGACAAATAGGCACAACTGACTGAGATTGGAAATACTTGCGCTTCTTGCTGCCTGTCGCATCAGCTAATTTGTCCTTATCTTCGGACGCGACCGATTCCAGCTGCAATTCATCGCTTTCATTTCCACTATCTTTAACAACACCATCACTATCTCGATTTCGACGTTGTCGCTTGCCATGTGCTCCGACCTTAGAATCAGCATTGCGTGTGAGATGACATGCTCGTGTGTTCAGCGTTGACAGTCCCGTGTACAGCGCAATACACAGTGTCGGTGGACTGTGCATTCCATAGACGTCATTGAATGTTTTGCGAAACATCCTCTCCAAAGTCACCCATCTGTCCGTAGCAAATACCTTTTCGTATGCCTCAATGCCGCACTGATGAGGCGACTCGAACGCCAACGTTGCCATTGCAATCTGAACTTCACTGATAGCAGCGTCACGAAGTGTTTGTTTGTCTGATTGCATTGCAAGTGGCGTTAGATAAGTGCGTGCATGCTGAACGGCGTTCAAGAGCTTGCGAGCACGCACAAGTTCAATAAAGTCCTGCATGCGCAATTGAAATTCTAAAGTCGACTGCAATCGTCGCAGTCGCGAACCATTTTGCAAGCACCACGTAATTGCATGCTCTGTACGATGAGCCTGTAGGTCTTTCAGCACCGCTTGACATTCTGCATGAACCTTGTGGTCTACCAAGTGATCAACACCTATACAATACACGATATTTTTAGTATTCTACTCATTTCCATTGCTTAGTTACAATTTAGTACCTTTTGTTGTTTCAATAATCTTGGCACTCTCGAAATATCCTTGACTTAGTAAAAAGTCAGCTATTAGTCGGTCATTTAGTAATTTGTTCGCTTGGCTCAAGGTAAAGGAGTCACCGACTGGTTTAGAGTCTTCCAATTCTTTTAAGTGCCGTATGCGAGTGACACAGGTCTGCAAATCTATCTCTTGCTCGATTGCATTGTTCTTGGCACTTTGCTTCAAGTCTTGTAGCTTTTTTTCTAACTCTGCTAGCTTAGTAATGGCCGTCTCGATGTCTATGCGCTGACCGGGCTGCTGGGGATTATCAAGCGCCTCTATTTGCGCTGTAGCCTGCGCCAACTCACGCGTGAGCTGCTTATGATACAGACGAAAGTTTTTACTGGCACCCTCAAAGGGCACTCGCACAAGCGGGTGCCCTAGCTCCATGGAAACTGATGTGAGTAGTCGTATCACGTCGCAATAGTGGTGATTGCAAATACTTCTGATCCCCAAGAAGATATTTAGAGACGAAGAACAACAAAGAATAAGCGAGGGCTATTTTACATTTGTGAGACATATTGAAAAGTATTGAAGGACAGACAACGAGGTTTAAACGCTGCGGGATGGTTGGATTATACTCTGCATAAAATTTACTAAAAAATTGAAGTGGTATTCAAAGACCAGTATTGCAGTCGACATCATACAAATTCCTTCTAAAGTATAGTTAACTTCCACAGCATGACGTGCAGCATTCGATTTGTCGATCTTCTTCACGGAAGCTGCTTTATATTTTGCAGAGTGAGAAACTTGTCAGCTGATGCGCTAGGGTTTACATCTACCTTTATTTATGAATTTTATCCACAACTAAAGTTTGGATTCCGTACCTTGTCTTACTCCGGATGGAATCCTAGACAAAAAATCACGACAGCACAAGTGTGTGAAATTAACTAGCTGGCTGAAATAATTCTATATTGTTGATAGGAAACACATGTGCGAATCTACACTAGACAGCAATAGAAAGGGTTGCTGTCTAGCGATACGCGTTAAAGTATCGAATTGTGAGAGGAACATGGATGGGCCCTGACAGAGTCTCGCTCCGAAAGCACAACTAGCTTGAACACAAGATCCTTTTCTAACTTGATATCTTCCTCGTGCTTGAACGTAACCAACGTCAATTAGACTTCACACCAAAACATCTCATCTTTTCATCTATCGTAATAAATAGGGTGTCAGTATTGCATTCATCAGCTGTAATATCTCAGCTTGGGGACTGAGCGAGATACCTATAATTGCAGCACGTATGAGTTTTTTGCTGCCATGTTAAGAATACTTCCGTGCTGACATTTTGCTTTTAGAAGTTCAGAATTTAGAGTAAAAATCAATTGTTTTGTCCGCTTCATGAACGTCTACATATACAGCCTATTCATCGATTAAAAAGCAACATCTTCTCTTTCATTTCTACAAAATTCTACCTCATCTCGAATGTCTCTGATAACCATCAAACGTTGCGAGAATAAGTTGAAAATGCGTCGATCGGTGAGGAACAATTTTCAATTCGTACCACACCGAATTTTCTTGCATGTAAGTGCATACGTTCGCAGAATGCTGCAGTGTAACGGATACTCTTAAAACGAATGCGTTTTGGGATCTGTTGATCTTAATCCTTGTATCGATGACTATGGCGCATCGACAAATTTGGACTTGCGTTTCTCGGAACCACGCTGAAATAGTTTCCGCGTTAAGAGACACGATTTAAAGAAAAGAAATCGGAAACTGTTTTGTGTGCTGCTACTTTTTTTGACGAATTAGGTACACGCATGGCTACTAGATAATATTGCTGTGTTGGAAGCGAGCAGATGAGATCAACACGAATTTTACAATTCAAGGACATATAAAAAAGAGAAGAACATGTTAATATATTTTTCGCTGTGAATTTTATTCTCAAAATATTATAAGGTAAGAAGAATAGAAACATGCAGCTTAGTCTTGGGGACGTAGTTCGCTTTGATCTCGCGCTATACACTATACATCTATGAGGTGAAATTTTCCTTCAGATGCGCGTTGATTCTCTCGACTACGTGGCAAATACAAACTCGACATACAATTATTCGAATAAATTGGATAAAATGATGCTAACAATCTATAAAGTGCACCCAATTGATGGCGACAAGGTGGTTTAACTAGCCATGTTAAAAGTCGGAGATGTGCAATATAGTTGCGTAGCGCAAAATTGCGAGCACTTCGTTTCATGGGCGCCTTACGGGTAACATTGCGAATCAAATCACTTCGCCGTTTGCCGATTGGAAAGGTTCAAGAGATTCATGAGTCCACAAAACTTTGTGCAGAGCAATTATCGGAATGTCTGGAAAGTTTTCACAGTTTGCGGTACTAAATATTTACGAACCTTTCCTGCTAACATTAAAGTTAAAAAAAGGAAATGATACCTATTCCTTTAAAAAAGCTCTAAAAACCATCATTCCGATCCAAGTCATGCGCAATGTGTTGAAAGCGGTGCGGAGCGACCAGCCGTCCCATACGGAGCAGCAGAATATCTCGCGTCGCTTCTATACTGCAGGCTCAAGCCCTATTGCATCAGTTTCTCGTTTCTCGACTTTATCAATGTTATATCATCTTCCTGGATCTCCTCGCTCGGTAGACTCATCTTCGTGCTCCACGAGCATGGACGACGCCATTGGCCGCCTCTTTACGCAATATTTACCCACATATTTTGACTTGCTGGAAAAATATCAGTACCAAAAGGTTTGAATTAGTACTCACGCTGATTCTTTGTCTGCTACTCACATGTGGTACAGGCGTTGCTGATTGTGAAGGACGAAGAAGATAGTCAATGGAAAGGGTGGGATGCTGTCAAAGTCATGATCAAGCTTGGGGCGTCATGTGAGAGCACGTATGTTATCAAGATGATAATCTTATTATCTACAAAGTATTAATTACCTTATCTTACTTAAGGTACCATTCGATGAAGTACTTGGAGGCAGAATTGGTGCAGACAAATACGATTGAGCAAATGTATAGCAACTTGATCGTGCTCATGAAGTACTTAGCAGACGAGCTTAAGCCTATTGTGACGAAGCAAAGTCGACACTTCAGCATACATTCACCTACATTGAAGAGCAATAGGAACGGTAGTGGAACGACAATTGAAGGTCAAGAAATTATAAAAGAAGAAACGGAATCTACGCGATTGGCAGAGATTGCAATATGTGGTGATTTGAAATATTACGTTGACTTGCTTACACAAGGCGCGGAATTTTTCTCGGTGCGTACGCTTACCGAGCTTTTAGCCATTTTGTATCTACTGATTGGTATGAAGCTCACCTGTTTGCGGAACAATTGGACAGCTTCGGGCTCCAACAATACGGATCTATTGTGGACTGGCACTTACTACTGTCCCACGTGATTATCACAATGTACGAACAAAGTTCTTACCAATCCTTCAAGACAGTTTTATATAGTTGAAGTTTATCTTCGTTGTGCTTATGACAATTCAGATGCTGAAGCAAATCAAATCCATGCTACCTCGCTACGACGCTCTAGATCACCCACTATTAAAGACGATGAAGCTTTCGGCCATGGAGGAATTACGAACACTGCACGCTGCTCTTCAGTGTGAAATTCAAGTGGCAGAATATGATTTCACACGCTCAATTGTGGCGTTGCATGGGCTTAAGTCTCAGTTGCGCTCTTGGTGTGACCATATTGATGCTAGTTCGGACTACCCCTTGTTTGAAGGCGATGATACTGGCTATATTGCTGGATGTGATGACGAAGGCATGCTGTTGGATGAGTCGGATGAAAATTATGACTTTTTATCAGATTCGATTTACTCCAACGCAAGTTGTCATTCTACCTCGTCACTTGTTCGAGGTCATTTGCTCAATCTAAGTGTAAGCTGTGATTCACGTGGTGTTAGTTGTTCAGCGCAAGGTGGTCGACACGTCAATACAGCTGACGATCGTGCCGATGAAAAATCCTCGCTTGAGAACAACCAATCCGGCTTTTCGTTGACCAGCAGCTTTAGTCCAGCGTCATCTGAGACCCAAAGTACATTTAGACGTCTATTTTCACACAGCAATCTACTACGACGTGGTAGTGGGTTGGCATCTGCGCTGCCAAATTGCCGTGGACTTGTACAAAAGCCAGGCGATCCGTATATAAATTCAAAAAGTGCAAAGTCGTCGATGCCGAACAATGCTCTTGAGCAAGCGATCCTGGGTGTTAAAAATGGTCTCGGATGTAACGGAGGCGGTACTGGCGTATCGCTGGGAGCTCAAGGTACTTCAATGGGTGGAGGAATGGTGCTCGGAGGCACAAACTTAGTGGCAGCTGAAATGATGGCATCTTCAATGAAAAAACAAGAACGTGACGACGGGTTTGCTTTGCCTGTATTTCAATGGTCAAAGAGGTTCTATCGCTCTCTCGTGGCTAAATTTACGCTTTATTTTCATCAGTGGCTTGATTCTTTTGAGAAAAAGACGGATCTTTTCACATTGGAGCTAATGCGATTTATTAAAACGCCTCTTGGAATTTCGTATCTTGGACTGATGGACGTATTGCTATCACGAGGTTGATGACTGTTTGTAAACATGAAGTTGGGGTGCAATTTTAAACTAACCTAATATTCTGACTGAACCACTGCTACAGCTCAGCGTGGAAACGAAAGCACATTTCGCGTTATGCTGATTTTAGAGACGCAAGCACTTGAAAACAAGGGCACACATTACTATGAGAACGGGTATCGGTGTCCAAGTTCCAGCGATGCTTTATACCGTCGCTCAGATAAAAAATATCAGGAAGAAGAGAGCGATCAAGTAATGAAGCAGAAGGCGATTGTTTTAGATGAACCTTCAAACTCTTCCGGAGTGAATAGTTCTGCACGGTCGCCCAGCAAAGGCGTGGCACCACTGATTGACTATCGCCAATCAAGTGACCAAGAGGCGTATCACGCGTTGTTTACGCGAATTGACCGGGAGGAAAATGAGGAGCAGAATGATTTTTCTGAACTTTGGGGTCTACGTAGTTGGCCAGCAGTTTTTTGTTATCCAGAAGAGTCACCGCCACTTGATCACTGGCCAAACATTATCAGTCTGATCATGGATAATCGCGCCACGATTGACTCGGTTTGTCCCGTGTAAGTTTTTTGTATAAATGACAACTATACGCACATGCGTTGCCCCATCTGATGTATTGCTTTGCGCTTGTATAGTTTTCAGCATTTTGAACGACGGTTAAAGACAACATATTATCTCTCGCGTGTAGATGAGGCCATGTTTCTTGTGCTCCTTGCGAAGGAAGGAAAGAAGTCGAGCGAGAAAATTGCCCAGGTAAGGTTTGTGTTAGATCTCACATTTTTGCAAGAAATGCTGACCTTGTAGCAGGATTTTATGCGAACTGTCACGGAAAACTTGCAGCACTTAGGTGTATTTGCACCTCGACTTTCAGCTTTGGCTTCGGCATCTTCAGTGTAAATTTTTATTGAGATCTGCAGCTAAGTCCACGTTTCAAGAAGCGAAGATTAAATTTTGTCGTAAATTAAGGCTTGGCCTCATCAGGAACGATGTGTTAATGGTTCCATCAGCGTGCTGTATCCTCAACACAAGAGGCAAATTACGCTTTGCGGAACACGGTACACCTGTTTGATGCGAATTCGCAAAAGGGAATCCAGTGTATGCATGTCAAGCTGAAGAGCTAGGCACATCGAAAGTTCTTGCGCTATTTGCTGCAGATCGCATCAGCCTAATTATCTCAATTTTCGGACGTAGCCGAGTTATCGTCCTCATTTCTGCCGCTGCATTTCACCGTCTCGTCATGATCGCTTGCAAAATGTGCTCTAGCCTTTGAGTTACGTGAGATGGCATGCTCGTATGTTCAGCGTGGTGTGCAATATAAAGTGAGATATACTGTGCATTAAAAATACTTTTCAACAGCATAGATCTTGCCGTGTATCTCAGCCAATGTTGTCATGGAAATCTACATTATTGTCCTTCGGACTGCGAGCAAAGTCAGAGTGGGATACCATCAAGAATTATTATGATAAGAACTCGGTAGGAACTGTCTCCTTACGTCAAAACTTAAATTATGAAAAGTGCACGATAACTTGTAGACAATCCCTCTGAGAATAAAACACGAGCTGTTTAATCACGTGTCCTCGACATGCTTGGAAAACTGATGTCTATTGTAAGGGGGTAAGGAAATTGCGGTATACATTCGACAAGAAGCGATCACCAGGTATGAAAATGTGCTGATGAGACCCCCAGAAGCCCGACCGAACGTTGGAGCACAAACGGCACTCCCGGCCATAACAAGCTCAAGGGTACAAGCTTTTCACATGTCAATTTTAATATACAAATGATGCACGGAGAACATATGTGGGAGGTAAAAAGAAGTCAAGCTTGAGCACTGTACCGCTGCGTCGGACCAGACAAAATATAAAAGGAAGTCGCGTAAGGCCATTGCGGTCATTTGTTTTACAAGAGAGCATTCGCAGTTGTCATTACTCCAGTCTGCTGATGGCGCGAACGATGCATGGCCGTTTATGGAGTCGCCTTTCGAGAAGAAGAGCCTGATCAACAAGCTGAATTTTTGTCGATGCATATTCAAGTCACGTCTAGAAATGTCTGTCGTTGACAGTAGGGCGCCCCGCGCTCACTGGGTGTAGTCGTTTCCCCACGGACAAACCAGAAGGCTGATGAGAAACAAAACGTCGGTTCAGTGAGTCTTGACGCGCCTTACGCAGGGGAAAACCGGTCCGAAGGTGACGGGTGTCTTTACACCGTCGGGCGTTTAAACGCTGCCGGCAGCTCGGAGCTCTCCACCCTCTTTCTCAGCATAGCTAAGATCCATTGGCTCAGGTCCGTCCGATAAGCTCTCAGGATGTAAATTCCAACCAAGTCGTGTCGACTTAAGGCTGAATTTGGTATTCAATACCACATTCACCGCTTCTTTTGAAGAAGACGGATACACAAGGAAGACTTTTATTCTGGCCACACCAATACGGAGGCCCTCCATAAGTGGGGCTAGCAATTTTATGCAAATAGTGAAGTAGCTTAATCGAAAAGGAAATCAGGCCAATTTTTTGTAGCTGCTAAAAAACAGTTTTTGAATGATGAAAATGTTAACCTTATTTATATTAAGAGCAAAAAGATTGCGCGGGATTAGAAGACGGAATCAAGCGATAAGACGCAAAATGCAGGGAAAGTAGATAACTTTGAAAAATAGGATGAACAGATGATGATGATTGCAATTCTTCTCGTTTCCGAGTATTGTCATTTAGTAGCTTAGCAGAATGGACTGCTTTGCTCCTAGTAATACGAACAATAACGGCAGAGCAATCTACGATGCGTTATGACTGATGCAGTTTGGTGAGATCGTTAGCGCCAAGAATCAATTGCAAATTTTAAGATGACTTAGTGAGGTTTGGCTTCTCGTGTCGAGTGGTAGTCGCATTCTAGTGCACGAGCTTTGAGCTTCTCGTATACTTCATCAATCTATGCCTGATTAGGCGGCGAGAATACTCGCAAAAGCTGCAGCTTCAGTTTCGTTGTGGAGGGAACGCCGCTTCGACCGAAGTACCGTGCATCGGTGCCCAATCTCGCGCTCGCCCCCGAGCTTGGAGATAGCTAGCGCCACGAGCTGTTGCTCGTTCTGGAGCATTGATGACGCCATAGCCATCTCGGCTTGTCTTACCCAGAACATGACATTCTCTCCATCCTTACCCTCGACTGTCATAACGCTCACCACGAGCGGCCTGGGTCAGGCAGAGTTATCCGTCGTCGTAGGTGGCTTCATGGTCGCAGTCGACGCCGACAGCTTCTACTTTCACAAAGCACTTCGATAATTTAGAAATGCCTCTAGGCGCACGCTGATCGCTTCGGGACCGTGCGAAACTAGGTGTTCCACGCCCTGGGGGCCAAACAGGGACACCAGCTTTTTAAGCCCGTCCTTCATGCCCTGGGAAAATTAGGAGAATTGCTTCATCCTCATGAAGAATCAGTCGTAACGACTCATGCGTGATTGACTACGAGTGCTACCAAGTGCAGTAGGGCTGCCGTAGCTCTTTGCTTAAAAAGGCTTACTAAGGACTCCGACCTAACGTTCTATACTTGAACCAGTACGAGTGTAGTGGATCATTTCCAATTGTACCCAATACCAAAACCCAAGGCGACTGTACTCTTCCGTTCAAGATTAGAACTGCATTTATTTGTTTTATTTGCGGAAGAGCCACCTATGTCTAATACCATAGGTTTTCCGAAATAAATAGAAAAATTTCATTGATACGCATAACTACTGGCAGTTCCGCCACGTAGTGGCCTTTTGTAACGGTGTAACCACACCATTGTGATCACATCGACTGAGTAATCTACACCTTTGAACGGTCACATCATCTTGTATGACCCACCCTTTCATAACAGGGTACGTGTAACCCGGTTTCTTCAGGCCTATCTTACATGCAATGGGATCACCGTACACCTTGCACAGAGAAAGCCAAGCAAGTATTGATCAACTGCATAAAGGTTTGATTCGTACGCTCTATATAGAAGTGGATCCAAGACTCCCTAAAGTACCTTGTTGTTATTTAAGAAGCTCATTAATTTTAAATACGACTAATTAGATTTTAGGGAGAATAAAAAATGCCCCAACTTTTGCCATATATAAAAAATATCCCAACTTTTCAAAAAATAAA